GGGGTCTAGGGGGGGATGAAGTCCGCGGGGCGAGGGGTCCCGCGAAAAGGGTCAGGGGTCTCGGCAGTGAGGGTAGGGCCCCCTACAAAGGGATGCGAGACCCCGCGGGGTCGGGGTCCGGGTCGTGCGCGCCTGGCCCGGCCGGAGGTGGAGCCACTTAAGCTCCGTGAAAATGAGCGCGGCGCCGCAGGGGCTGCGCCCCGGGAAGTTCCCGCCGGCGCCCCACAACTGGGTGGGTTCGCCTCCCGGATGGCTGGCGGGCGGAGGCTGAAACCGGGGGCGTTTCCGGGGGAACCAGGGGCTCGGGCGACCCTGCCCGGGTCGTTTGTCGCGCGGGTTCGTTGTGGTTTCAACTTGTTTTCCAGTCGTTTGTCCGACCAGGGGGCCCCTCTGCTCGCCGTTGGGGTGAGCGTGCGCCCCGTTAAGGACGCCGCAGCCCCAGGCGCGGCGACCCGGGAGCAAAGCAGAAAGAAAACGAAAGAAACCCACACCGTGTGGTGACACTGCGAGCCGCCTGGCCTCCTTTAAAGGACCCGCGACACTTGTCTACGGCCGCGCAGAGCAGCTCTCGGGCTAGACCCGACCCTCGGCCCCCCGCGCCACCCGGTCCCACTCGGCCCTGGAGGCCTGGAATCGGCCGGCGGCTTCGCCCCCAGGGTCCCAGCAGCTGCGCGGCGTCCCTAGGGCGCGTGGGGCGCCTCCTGCCGGCGGGCGTCGGATCGCCCGCTGCTCCCGGCGCGGTGTGCGGGCCAGTCCCTTCGCGGGCCGCCGAGGCCGGCCTCCTCTCCTTCCTCCCGGGTCCCCAGGGCCGCGGCCGCGCAACCGTGCGTGTTTGCAAAGCTGCAGAGCCGGAAAGCCGGGACCCGCACCGGGGAGGGGCCTCCAAGGAGCGTGTGCGCGTGGCGGGACCCCGTGGCGCCCAACCTCGCGTGGGTATGGGTGCGGGCGCGCGGGGTCCCGGGCGGCCGCGGACTGTCGGCCCCAGGGCTGTGTACAGTAGCGCGCGGCGGCGGCGGCGGGGGCGCGCGGGCCAATTCCAGGAGCCGGTGGCCGTGAGCCGCGCCCTGGCTGATACCGGAAAGGCCTGTGATTGGTCGGCGGCCGCCCCTATGCAAACGAGCTGAGGGAATGGAATTCCTCGGGCCGGGCTTACAGTAAAAGCACGTTCATTTCCAGGCACTCTCATTCATAGAGCCAGCGGGCGCGGGCGGGACGGGCGCCCCGCGGCCGGACCCAGCCAGGGCACCACGCTGCCCGGCCCTGCGCCGGCAGGCACATCTTTCCAGGGCTCCTGGGAACGGCAGAAGAAAGTCAACCTCTCCTCTTTCTCCTAAACCTACGTGGGAGCTTCGATTTTTCTTTCTCTTCTTACTTTTCAATGAACCGGCTCCTAGGTTGGCGGTTTCAACTTCTTGCCTGACTGTGAACTTTTTCCCTCGCTTGTTTCCTCTGACAACTGCGGAAGAAAGTGAGCGGGGCTTCCAGGCGAACCGTGAAGTTGCGTGTGCAGGGCAGGGTGCGTGGGAGTGTGAGCGTGCGCGCGTAACCCCTGCCGCCGGGTCCCTCCCGATCTGTGCCACGGAGCTTCCTTGCAGGGTGGACTCCACCTGCAGCGGTGGCACGGTGTTCGTGGGTCCTTGAGCGTTTGGGAAGTTCCGCCGCCGGCGCTGGGGCGACATTTGAGGAAGATCGCCTCGCTCTTACCCAAGTGCGGCTGACTCACAGAACCCTTGTAGACAGTGGCTGGCTTCCGAAGAGTGCGTGCCTCTTGTGAGTGACTGCCGCGGCTGAACTCCCACCAAACCACAGGAGAAGCCACAAGCCTCACCAACACCCCCAAACCCCAGTCCTCAGATGTGGAGATTGGTGCCCCGAGTGTCATCAACTTGGACTTTTGTTTCTTTTTCTTTTAAAGATTAGAGAAAGATCTTTGAAAAGCTGAATTTTCTGCACTGAGTCTTTTGCCAGAATTTATTTCGAGAACATGACAATTACTTCTAGCCCAGCCCTGCGCCAACTACTGAAGCTGATTTTCAAGGCTACTTGAAAAAAAAAATCGGCAGCGAACATTAATGGATTTCTGTTGTGTTTAAATTCTCTACAGATTGTCTTGTAAATATTTTATGAAGCAGAGCATATGTATATATTTATATATACGTGCTTATACATTAGTGGCATGACCTTTGGAAGTCGCAGCCCTTTCTTTTGAGGACCGAAGCTGGTTTTGCCTGATGAAAGTGGCGCTGTGTATGGAAAACACTCGTGCGTTTTCTATTCTGTTGGGACTTTAAGGGGGGGAATCACTCGGGGGGAAAAACGGACTGGAACTTTCAAATTATGTGTTCGCTGGTCCTTTTGCTGTCCGCCTAAATATTTTTGGAAGTGTGTGGGACATTTCGCCTTCAGGAACTTTTGTTAACCACCAAAGACTGAATTTTAAACTCTCAAAGCAAGACGCAGCGTTCCTTTGGCTTTTGACTTTGAATTCTGGTCCTCCGCTTTTTAAATGCACGAAGCAGCCGATCGCTAGGTGCAGGGCCTGAGTCGGAATCCGGTCACCACGGTCAAACTTTTCTTCTCCAGGACTTTTAACGTAGTCTCCCCGCGTTACTGCCCGCCCCAATCCCTTGCAGCAAATAAAGGCCCTTGAACTTGTATGTTGGTCTCTCCGGAGCTGCTGGCTGAGGATCCGCGCCCCTGTCGCTGTTTAGTGGGAGCTGTTTGCAGGGTCCTAACTCAATCGGCTTGTTGTGATGCGTATCCCCGTAGATGCCAGCACGAGCCGCCGCTTTACGCCACCTTCCACCGCGCTGAGCCCGGGCAAGATGAGCGAGGCGCTGCCGCTGGGCGCCCCGGACGCCGGCGCCGCCCTGGCCGGCAAGCTGAGGAGCGGCGACCGCAGCATGGTGGAGGTGCTGGCCGACCACCCGGGCGAGCTGGTGCGCACGGACAGCCCCAACTTCCTTTGCTCGGTGCTGCCCACACACTGGCGCTGCAACAAGACCCTGCCCATCGCTTTCAAGGTACTGGGCCTGGAAGGGGTGGCCCACCGGGTGGGGGAGGACAGGCGAAAGCCGGCGGAGGCCTGCGGGCGAGCCCGGAGGGTAGCGGCTTGGCGGGCGGGGCTGCGGTCTAGAACTCCGCGGGCGTTGCCCCCCACAGCCCATGGTCCAGCCCCATGCGCTCCAGGACGCTGGAGATGCTGCGTTGCCGTGGCGACCCTCTGGGGACCCGCCTAGGTGCGCTTGGGCTGCCTCCTGGAGAGCGATAGATATCACTGAGAGCCCCTGGTAGGGAGCTCCCTGGTGGCGGGGGTCTTTGATCTTAGATGTAGAATAGGAAAAGTTGTGAAGGTACAAGCCTGTCGGTTTCCATCCTGCCCCCTCCTCCCCACTAGCACACTCACTCACACACTCACACACTCACCCCTCTGGATTTACACCCAAACCCTGTAGTCTCTCTCAGAAGAAGACCTCAGGAAATAAGACGGGCACTCTTGCGCCTTCCTTCTGGTCTGTGGAAATAAAACTGACAAGGGACATTCAGATCCCCCCTCAACCCCACCCCTTTCTTTATCCCCAGTTGGAATTAGCATGTCCAAAGTCCACAGCAGGAGTAGTTTGCCGTTTTGAAGAGTTCGTTTTGGTTTTTGCCAGCTGCTAGGCTGTCGGAGCCAGAGAGGAGGCTGTGTCAAGTAGCAAATCCTGTTTCTTTTCCTGGAACCTGCCTGTACCTTATCCCAAGCTCACCTAGACTAAGCCTCAGGCGGTGAATGGTGACAAAGCTGTCTCTTGGAGCCAGGAGGTCGAGTCTGTGAGCCTTTCTGTTTGAGGAGGGACCCGTTTAGAAGAGGCAACTCCAACTGAGATGGATCTCGGTTCACTTTCCACCCCGAATATTTCCCCAGCTTTGAACTGCCTTTGAAAACCTTGGCCTTCAACCGGGATATATAAACAACCCCGGGCAGCTATAACAAGCACCACGGCCACCACCGTAGAAATTGAATATCTGTAGTTGGGACACTCACCTTCTGCCTTGGGTGGCTTATAGAAGGAACCGCTTCTTAGAACAATCAGTACAATCATTTCCAATTAGTTTAAATGACCAGAGAAGGCAGGTGATGCTGGCTGTCAAGATAGGCTGGTTTTTTTTTTTTAATACGGTAAAATAGTTGCCTTCATGAAGAGGCATTAATTTAATGTAAATCTCTGTGGAATCTCGATCTAATTACAATGAACAATGTTCTTTTTTTTTTAATTCCATCAACTGTTGGAGTTCATGATTTTAAGACTTAATCCACCTTCTAACCACAGATTGCGGATCTCTGAAACAAAACAAGCAAAGTTTGTCACCGGCTGTGTATCTCTAGAATGGTCTCCTTTGCCACCAGTTTTGAAGCAGGTGGGCGGAGGGCATGAGGAGAGGGGGAGTAAGTAGTGGAGAGTCAGCTACTAGACAACTTTCACTCTCCCCGCTCTGTCTTTGGGGTTGGGAGCCCATTTCCGGTTTAAATCATTCTAATGCCTTTACCTGAAATGACTCGGTCAGCACATTTCCTCAGCTTTCCCTCACCAGTTGGGCGCAGGGTCCTTCTCCATTAAAGAAGGTGGCAAAAGACAAAGTAGACCGCCCGCCCAAAGGCCCGTTTAAACCCAGGGCCCTGGGGAGCTGAGGGGCTTCGTCTGGGAGGAGGATCAGGGTGTCTTCTGGATTCTGCTACCTCCCCCAAGGAATTTACCTACCCAACCAGATCAGAACAGTACGCGATTAATAAGGAATCTTCAGGAGATATCCCTATATAGTTGTTCGAGTCACCACATGAAAGTAAATATACTTCTTTTTTTTTTTAAAAAAAGAAAATTCATATTAATGGCTTTTATGGGCCATCAAGGGAATTTAGCGGAAATCCTATTAACCAGAGAGGTTTCCTTTTGAAAATGACTTTTTGACCTTTACTTTTTTTTTAAGCTTCATTTGTTTTACTGAGAGTCTGTAGACTGCTTCTAAAAAAATCAAGGTGTACATCTCTCTTTTCAAAAGAAAGAAAGAAAAAGGTCGGGGGGTCTTGAGAAAGTTTGGAAGAAAGGAAAGGGCAGCAGAGAAATCAGGCCACTTGATGAATATCTGTCAGCGCCCCAGTCCCCTTAAAGAGAGGCCTCTTCCTGAGGTAGGACCTGTTCTTTTCATAACTGAAAGAGGAGCCTGATTTTTCCGTGAGTGGGTGATGAAAGGCCAATATTAGGAGCAAGTGCAACTTCAAAATGTGACTGTGTCCTGATTGAGTTCCGGAGTGTCCCTGACTCCTCCACACTAGGCCCTTAGACACCCTCACCTCATCCTACTATCCCCAGTAGGAATGGCTACGGAAATGGTGACTGTTAACATTGGGATTTCAGAGATGCCTCCATCTAAGAAGATAATCCGTAATGTATAGTATATTCCTTACCATACAAATCAAAACCAAACCAAACCCACTGCCGTGGCGTTCATGCCACGGGACAGAGTCCAACTGATCCCTGGAGAAAATGGCAAGCTGTGATAAAGCCAGCTGAGACGCATGGGAAGAGCAAGCAAGCGTTTCTTTGGGAACGCTGGGAGTTTGGATGTGCGGATCCTCTGCTTTAATCTTCAGCAGTGAAGGGAGATTGAAAATTATGAATTTTCTTGAAAACCATCCTAGCTGCTGGCCTAGACAGGAAGCTCAGGAGATAAACAAAGCTGTCACCTCCTATAGAAATTTAGTCTCGGAAGGTCAAAGGGGCAGTTCTGCTCTGCCTTATAGGGTCTTCTTGGTGAGTCGGAATTGACTCAGATGGAAGTGAGGTGCTTTTTGTTTTTAAGTTTGGAGACTTCCTCAGCATGCCCACCTCTTCACTTTTTTTTAACCTAGGAAAGAGACATATTTTGTTACTGAGAAAAACTGGAATTTGGTACATCTTAGCCAGTATTTATGGAAGTAGTCTAAAAAAACAAAATAGGCTGGTTGGATGACTGAGGGTATAATTTCGAGTAGTATAATATTGGCGTTTGTTTCGGCCCTGGTATGCCGGAGCCCCAAAGCCTTTTCTTGCCTTCAGCTGGGTCTTAGAGAGGCCTGGGGTGCCCATAGGAACATTCTTTCCACAAGTGAGAATTCTAATCAGCCATGTTTCCACCAGCAAGAGCACTGTCCCTTACTGTGCCTTGAACATCATCAGTGAACTCCAAAGATTCACTGCGTCCTTTGCAACCCTGGAAAATGAAGGGATGGGACTGAAGTGGACTATGACCTGTAATGTCAGCCACATCCGAGCGGCTCGGGGATGCCAGTTTGTTTCGTGGACAGGCTGGCCGAGAGGAGGCCTGGTGGAGCCTCGGTGTACACAGAAGGGCTGAGCCTTTGGCCAACTTCCTGATACTTTCAGAACAGAGAAGTAAAACAAAATATGAGATATCTTGGGCCAGCAAGTCCCATCTTGTCTGTTTGGTCTCCGCTAAAATGTCAATGTTTGTGTTCCCCTATGTATTGTTGATAGCTTTTCCTCCCAGTTGTTCTGTTTTGCCGTTTGAAGTCAGAGATTTTATCCCTCCCTCCCCATTGTCCTCACCAATGGCAACATCTATAGCAAATTAGCAAAAAATATCTTTTTAAGTTGTTTTTTATTTTTATCTAGCCTAGAGTATGCTAGTTAATAATTGGATGACATGCATCATTAATGAAATTTCCCTGGATTTAACTGTCACTGTGTCCACCATCCCCCTACATTCTCTTAGAGATCAATAAAAGGCCAAATAGATGATCTCAGAGCCCCCAAATAACTTTGATTCTTCCTTCATTTTTAACCACGGGAGGGGGGAAGGTGATTCAACTCTTGTTTGAGGGTTTGTTTTGTGTGGTGTTTTTTTTTGAGTCTTAGTTCCAACATCAACAACCTTTTATACTTTCGTTGCCATGATCATTTTGCTCTCGATTTGTTTTGACTTCGTGAAGGTCTCATGACTTTGCCAAATTAATGGCGACGAGGGAGGATGGCCTTGGAAAGATGAGAGAGGCATAGGCTTTGGCGTGGGGAGTGGGCAGGTGGGCTGGGGGGAGGCTGTGAAAGGAACCCCAGTAGGAGGAGAGTGATTTGGTTCTAAGACGAGATTTATTTATTTTAACCTCTTTACAGCTCCAGCCCCAACAATTGAGTTATTCAGTTTGAAAAGCATGCTCTTGATCCAGCCTCTGTGTTATTCAGTGCATGTTGAATTAAAATAGAGAAGCCTGGTCACCACAGGGAGATGGGGAATGAGGAAGTAAAAATATATGTTCAATGAGGGCATTTCGACACTGAGCTAATTTTACAGAGGGAAGTGAAAGACAGGGAAATTTTCAAGAGACAGAGAAGAACAAAATCAGGCGAGAAGAGCTGCAAAATGGCAACCTTAGGCTAATCGCAATAACTGATCAGGGAGATTCAGCTTGGTGTTGTGTTGTGTTGTGTTTTGGGAAACAGGAGGTATCATAGTACTACTCTTAATTAAAAACAACCACCACACATCTATAATGGGAACTAAGTGCCTAATTAGAGGATGCTTAGGGTATTTTGAAATAGTCTTTATAGAAAGCAATTGGATGGCATGATTAAAAAGAAAGGTGAAAGCCCCGGCCTTGTGTGACAAAGCAAATGGGATGAAGCAGATGAGGAAAATAGGTACCCATTGCCATGTAAGTTGATTGCTCTGAGCCGTGTTGGGTTAGCAAGCTGCTCATCTGTCTTGGTGAGCTGGTTTGTTTTCTCTGTCCGATCCCTTAGCCCACAAGAGCGGCTCCAATGGTGATGAATAAAAGCAGTAGTGACCTGGAAGATCCAGGAGAGAGGTCATGATGAAGCATGGAATTTTAAGGAGCATGACTGCAATATCAAGCAAGTGGGTCTCTGGTAGCCTTTTTTGCACTCAGGAGGGGAAAAAAGGTGGGAAATATAGCTACTTATCCCCTCATCAAAAAATAGAAATTTTTTAAAATCCCCATACTACCACCACCAATAATAATAATAATTAGGTAAAATCTGGGAGCTAGAAAACAGAAGGAATAATCCCAGTAGATTTCAAGTCTCGTTCATTTGCTTTGCTTTTTATCATCCGCGGTTCCAAAACAAAAACAAAACCAGATTTTCTTCTCAGAATGAATAGCATCAAATTTCAGGGGGAAAAAATTGTTGGCATTGTAGGAACACATACAGCTTAAGAACATTTTGATTTGAAATTGTGAGACCACTTTGGGAACCAGAAATAGTGGCAATAGAGCCAGCAAGTGGTAAGTCTCTCAACACAGAAAGTGGCTTCTAGAGGAGTCCAACGTGGTCCAGGGATGGGTGGTCTCCTCGAAGCATCTTCGTTCGCCCCTGCCTCTTCCCATCCTTTTATCTTGAAATTACTCTAGTGGTGTTTGTTTGATATTGTGGCTTTAAAAATTGCCTGGTGTCAAAAACACTTATCCAACCAGTGATCTGCAATCACTCGGATAAGAAATCGAGGCCGATGCCATCCTGACGATTCAATATTGAAGGAATGAGCCTTCTGAATCCACTGGGTTTGGAGAAAACTTTGATCATCCATCAGAGCATATTAATTCACACATCTGTGGTGTTCTGAGATTTAAAGAGACAGTCCCAAGTCCACCCCTGAACTGAGGAGAGCATCTAAAGGTAGAAGCCCCAGTTCCTTGAGCTTTGACTTAATAATTAGTCATCAGCAAGGGGTACCTTTGTGATTTGTTTCCCCGGCCTTGCAAGCCAGGATAGAAATGATACCTGCCAGGGAAACCCAAGGGGGTAGAAATGAGTCACCGGTAGCAAAGAGCAACTCCAGAGAGAAGACTTTAATAAACCATTGATGGCTCAAATCATCGATTTCACTGGAAAGACCATGCAGCACTTTAGGGGAATAAGTTCCAGCACCTTTTAAAGTGCAGGTGCTGTCAGGATTATCATTTGAGGTCTGGGTAAGTAAGAGAGGGGTTCGCTTCTAAATATAAAACAACAAGACACCATGCTTCTTAACTGGCAGGGGCTGAGAAGGGATACTGTCATTGGTAACCAGGCATAGTTTGGCAAAGCCCGGCTGAAGTTAGTCTTGCTACAGTTTTTCAATCTGACTTTATGCAGTTTGACTAGGTGAACACAGGTAAATACTGCATTCCATGCACATTGTTGTTTTAGTTGTGCAAAAGGGAATGAAAAGTGTAAATCTTCCCATTAATAACTTCTCTGTTGCTCTCTGCGGAAGTTATGGCTGCTGTTCCTTGTGAGCCAACAAGTACCATTTAACATGCCCATAAATTCCCAACTGTTACCACACCAACGGCTGAGAATCTGTGCAGAACTTTCCTGATGTCTGCATTTGTCTCTTGCCACATTTAGGTGGTGGCCCTGGGGGATGTTCCAGATGGCACTCTGGTCACGGTGATGGCCGGCAACGATGAAAACTACTCAGCCGAGCTAAGAAATGCTACGGCGGCCATGAAAAACCAAGTCGCCAGATTCAACGACCTCAGGTTTGTCGGGCGGAGCGGACGAGGTAAGTTCCCCTCCCAGGCGAACGCCTAATATAGAGAATTTCACAGGGTAACAGCCCTGGCTTTTACGCCATTTGTTTGCCAGGTCTCTGAAGGCATCTCTGGGAAGCCGCCCTGTTTGGGGTTGTTCCTGCATTGTCCAGATTTTGTTTTCAAATGTCTGAAATTTACACACTTGAGATTTGGTATTGAATATTTTTAGCAGAATCCAGCCTGATACAGTGGCTCGCTGTTCGGAATTGATTCCAGACGGATTCGGCACATGCAGCGCATGCGTTTCTTCTGTAGAGGAGATTGGAACATGGGTTGATTTCCAGAAAGCCTCCCACCTTATGGTTAAATCTCATGAAACAGGGCTAACACCATTCCGCTTTGGTCCATTGGATGGCATTCCCTACTCTATTTCTTCCAAATGCCTTAGTAGAACTTGGAGGGAAGGAGTTGGGCACAGACTACCATTCGATGGTGCTAACAATATTGACTTAGTAAGGAGCTCAGGCGGGGGTGGCGGGGGGGTGGACTATGCCTTGGCCTACTGACCACAAGACTCCCAGTTTGACCCACCAGCCGCTCCTCAGGCGAAAGATGAAGCTTTCTACTCCCATACATAGTTAACAGCCTCGGAAACCCACAGGGGCGGGTCTGTTCTGTCTTGTGGGCTCGCGATGAGTTGGCATGGACTAGATAGCAGTGAATAATATAGAAGGTGGAATTTTCCAAGGGAACTCTTGTGTCATCAGTTCCATATTCCACACACTTTTCTTCTCCTTTGCCTTCAGCCCACTGGCAAAGTGTGAGCGCGGGACAAGGAAGCTGGCCTCATGGCTTCCCTTTGACTTCCACATATCTTCAAGCACGGGCGTCTTCCCTCTTGTGAGAGAACTTTACGTCAAGTAACGTATCAGCAGCCACCAGAATGAGAAGTGGCCTTGGAGGACATAGCAGAGCCTGTTATAAAAGTCTTAGTTTTGGGATGTTTTTTTGTCACATCATATTGACCAAGTGTACACGTGGACGTGATCTCAGGTGTCACTAAAATAACTTCAGATAAATATCTAAATGACAGCCAAGTGTTCTCACATACAAAAATCAATGAACATATTCGCAAGGGATAACGCTAGTCGTCAGTCTTTCTAGAGGCATTCGATACCAGGAGAAAAAAAACCCATGTTCTCAGAGAATTCGGTTAATCCAGGAGGGGGAAGAGATGGGTCTGTCTTAAAATTTGGGTCATTGTTGCTGTTATCCTCGCCTCTGGACCTTTTTTAAAAAATAAAATAAAATAAAACCGGGGGGAAATCAGATCGTCTCATGTGATTCAAAATAACACTCCCAGCACCAACGATGTCAATCATAGGGCAATGCAAAGAAAATGATATCTACTTATTTTTTTATATCTACTTATTGAACGCATGAGTGATGCTATAATATATAAAGGCATACGTCATTAAATGGGTCCACTTGTTATACTACAAGTCCCCCCCTATCAATCAATGGAATTTGCATTATGATTCAGAGAGGTGCTTAGAAAACATATTGCCCGCTTCACAGGAGGAGCTGGCTGAGTGGGTGAGAAGCCAATAAAAAGCAAAGGCCCACAGCCTGGTCAATGGCCACCAGCCTAGCCCACAATCTCCATTCAATCCTGTGGCCCCTCTCCTACTGCAAATTGGTAGCCGAGTCTCATTTTGTTGTGTCTCCTGCAAAAGTATTGCTATCGGACTGGGTTATAAAAGTTCTGGACACAATGTAAGGGCCCGTGCCAGTGGCATTTTCTCACAGGATGCCCAAGGGTGGTTTTGTGGCAATGCACAAAGTCCGTCAGTGACCATAAAGAATGAGCTCCTGAAAGCTGCATGCTCCCTTTTTCTGCCTTGCGCCCCTCATTGGCCTCTGCTGTTTTGAGTGGGTGACTAACAGGGCCGGTGTTTACTTGGCTAGCAGGGAGCTGTTTCCCCAAGGTGTGGAATGTTTGCGCTAGACTGCCCGAGTCTTGCCAGCATGTCCTTGAGGCTGGGCTGTCTTCTGATAACCTAGCACAAGAAGACAGGGGGAAAAATTAATGGAAATGCCATAAATGGACAGTCTTTGTTGTGAACAGGCCCCGCTTCCCACGAGTGATACTAAGCTATCAGAAAGACCTAAGCGCGAATTGAACGTTTGACCCAGTTAGAGTTACCCTGTGTATCGTGGGTCCTGAGAGCTTTTCTTTGGGTCAGGGCTGCAAGGCAAAAAGTGAGCTGTCAGAAGGCCCGATTTGACTCTGGCCCTTTCGTTTCTCTCCACGGTCGTAAAATACAGCTTGCGCTGTGGCGCTCTCAAGCACAAGTGTCAACAGCCAGGACTGCCGGGTTTTCTTCCTTTTGTATTTCTTTCCTCCTTCTCAGTGCCCTTCCATTACTAAGAAAGCAGATGACTCTTGCTAATTTTTACCATTAGTTTCCATCTTCCTCACGAATTCTTAGTCTTTTAAAAGTTTTGCTGTGCTTTATTAAGGAATCTTACATCTATCTACCACTTCATTTCCGTTTGGGGCTTTTTCTCTCTCTCTCTTTCAACTGTGTCTTCTAAGAGTATCCCATTAGCACTGACACAGGAGAAAAGGGGGTGGGGTGAGGGGTGGGGGTGCTGGCTATCAGCTCATCCGATAGGTTCAGTGCTGGCTTCCCCTTCTCTCCAAGGCCACTGGCCTGGCTGGGCCCCCAAAGGAGTCTGTTTCCAATGAAGGAAAAATCACACTCACTGCCATTCAGTCAATGATAGGACTGAAGGGAGGGGAGGGGTGGGGGGGGGCAACAACAAAGCCTTTACTGCCCAGTTGGTGCTAGCTCATGGTGGCCACGTGTGCAGAGCTGAGCAGCAACCTGTAGCGTTTTCAAGGCTTGGCTTTCCGAAAGCAGATCGCCAGGCCTGTCTTAAGAGGCTCTTGTTGATGGATTAGAACTGTCAACCTTTGGGTTAGCAGTGGAGCACCAAACTTTTGCACCACCCAGGGGCTCCAGGGTAACCAAACAGGTGTCCTTCTCTTTGACGGGGTCAGTTTGGGGGATCAGAAAACATCACAGAAATTGCCAGAGGTTCAATGGGAAAAGGGTTTTTTGGACTCTGTTCTACAAAACTGATCTGTTTGGGCACTGGCTGATGTCCAAGATCACAGCTCCTCACCTCGGGGTCAGCCTGCAACTGGGAAAACCTGCCCTTCCGGCTCGGACAGGCCTCCCTGACTCCAAGGGCCCCTAAAAATGTTAGGTGAAGGCTTCTGCAGTCCCGGAACCTTCTTCCTTTTCCTCCTTTCTCTCCCTCAGTGGGAATTTTATTCCGGATATGTCTCACCCTTGGAATTCTGTGATCGAGTATCTCCATGTAAATGGATCATTCCTTCACAATGGGTGCAGAGATAGCAGCTGGAAGAGATGTGGGAGAGATAGGGTGTTCTGGGAAGTGGAGCTGCATTCCAGAGTTGTTCTGAGCTCACAGGTGGTGATTCAGAACAATTCACATTTAACCCCATGTTCGGGGACTGTCCGCCACTGCCAGAAGATTTCTTGTCGGAACGGATTCTCTCTGGTGACGTTAATTAGAAGCAAGTTACATCAGGGCTATTGCATTCGCTGCAAATGCTCCCAATATTTTCAGTTACAAGAAAAGCGTCTTCAGCTAGAGAGAGTTGAGACGTTTTAACAGGAAGATCTGTGAGGGCATCCATCGCTGTTGGAGAATTTCATCAATTGGCCAAGAACCTATCTTATCCGTCAGCAGATTACACAGCGTTGGCTCATTTATTTTAGGATCAAATAAATGATCCAGACCGGTGGTGCTCAACCATTCTAATGTCGCGACCCTTTCATACAGTTCCTCATGTTGTGGTGATCCCCCAACCAAAAAATTATTTTCATTGCTACTTCTTAACTATAATTCTGCTACTGTTATGAGTTGGGCGACCCCGGTGAAAGGGTCGTTCAACCCCCCAAATGGGTTGCAACCCACAGGTTAAGAACCGCTGTCCGAGGCACCACACCGTAATTGAGATGTTTCATTTGAATTTTTCTACAACAATGATGTTAGCCTTCTGGGGGAATGGCAGGGATAATTTTGTCAATCTAGGAGAAGCCTTCTCCCATGACAAGAGCATGCACACGCGTGTACAAAACCTTGCATACAGTGTCCAGGGTTGCTGAAGCTCATCTGGGGATACTTGGGGATCCATGAATTTAAGTTTTGCCCAGGCTGTGGAGGGTCAGCCTAGAACTGTGCTGCCCAGAGTAGATACCAACAAAACAACAACAAAACAAAACCAAGAAGAGATAAAGGAGCAAACAGCACAGACATTCTTCTTGCAGCCCCTGCTGTGTCGGTAACACCTGCTTTTACTAGGGAGGCCCTGGGAGGTGATCAATCAGAGGCCTTGGAGCTGATGCGGACTCTGAGACCGGAGAGCAGGCTGACTGTAACTGCTTCTGAGAGGGGAACCCCTGTCTTTTTCCCAAGGAGCAGCTGGTGATTTCAAACTGCTGGCCAAACCCTAAACCACTGCGCCACCAGGACTCCCAGGCTGAAGCCATTGGACGACTAACCCCAAGCGTGGCCATTCGAGCCCATGCAGAGGCCCCTCAGAAGAAAGGCCTGGTGATCTGCTTCTGCCAAGTCAGCCTTTGAGAACCCACGGAACACAGTTCTAGTCTCTCACACACACAGGGTCACCGTGCGTTTCAGTTCACTGAAACAAGGCAACTGGTCCATGTTTGGATTTTGTGTCTGATGACAGCCTGGACCTGGCTTGTATAGAGCAGAACTCGTTCACAGTGCTAGCCCAGGCCTTTGGGTGGACATCGGCCTGTTCAGGGGCACCTCATTTCAGAGTGAAATGTGTGTGTGTGCGGCGGATCTCCCTGGCATCTTTTGTCTGGCTGTTCAGAACAGTCCCCTGCTCCGGGCGCTTTGTGAAGTGAAGCTCCTGTTCTTTGTTTTTGCCGTGGTCTCTTTCAAGACAGGATCGCTATCC